ACTCTAGGGGGTTTAGCCCCCCCCCATGAATAAAAAATGAGTGAGGCTCCCATAATGAAATAATTTCCCATGCAAAAAGAGAAATTTTTAATTGGTCTGCCAAGACAGCCACCTCATCATCCTTAAGGAAGGCTCTTTGTTGATAATTAACATGTGTACAACAGTTAGTTATCTATTGTACTGATGAAGCCACTGTGTGGCAAAACGTTTCTTCAATAAAGATTCTCATGTTGCATAAGTGTCTCAATTCTTCAACTTGTCGGTTTTCAAAACCATTCATCACATGTCAGACACTGCATCATCATGAGATCTTGATACAAAGAATTCTTCAAAACTTGTCCAATCTTTGGACGAAGACCTACTTAGACTAGTGGATGCTTCCACTATGACCCCCGCCTCCTGCTTCGTCTCACCTGACTACAGCATATAAGCCACTGCTACGGCCCTATGCTGTACATTCTACAAGATTGATGGACTGAACACATCGACTCCAGGCTGAGTGACAGATTACCTCAAACTCCTCCTCTCCTTATACCTTCCTGCTCTGTATAAGACTGATGAAGCCACTGCGTGGAAAAACGTTTCTTCAATAAAGATTCCCATGTGTTGCATAAGTGTCTCAGTTCTTCAACTTGTCGGTTTTTAAAAACCATTCATCACACATGAATCAGAACCTGATCAACCAAGCTGTTACTGTGGTCATATACAAACCGACGGATGAACCACAGCCCTGCTGGTCAGGTACTGACTTTGTGTGCCTGTCCAGTGCCTATTTGAAGACAGCCAGAGGTCTATTTGTAATCCCCCTTTTGTATGCTGGGAGGTAGTTGAACAATCTTGGGCCCCTGACACTTCCTGTGTTGTCTCTCAGTGTACTCGTGGCATCCCTGCTTTTCACTGGGGTAATGCTGCATCTCCTCCTTGCATCTCTTTTTGGGTACTGTATACAGTACTGTTATATTTATAATTACGATTTGATGATGTTAAGGGGATCTTCATTCAAGGAATTGGTTTTCTCCTCCCCTTGGATAAAAGTTGATTGCCTCCCATTTCCCTTAGGTGCTGTTTGACCCCTACAGGTTTGGCACTTATTGCATGAATGCTGTAAGATTTGCTGCCTTCAGATGCACTGAATTCCGTGACATTCGGCAATAAAAGAGGCAAAGAGGTTTAACCTAGATGGCCAGCATAGGGTAGCAACACAGAACATAAGATGCATCTAACATGTCACCAACACAGACAGACACACGTCACCAACACAGACACACATCACAAACAAAGACAGACACGTCACCAACACAGACATACACATATCACCAACACAGACAGACATACGTCACCAAAACAGACAGACACACGTCACCAACTGAGACAGACACACATCACCAACACTGACACACATCACGAACAAAGACAGACACACATTACGAACAAAGACAGACACACATTGCGAACAAAGACAGACACACGTCACCAACACAGACAGACACACGTCACCAACACAGACACACTCACCAACAAAGA